GGAAAGAGGTGGAGACACAGAGAAAAAGGCAAGGAAAACCAAAACCAAAGCCAAAAAACCCCCACCAAACCCAGAGAAAAATAACAAGATTTGAAAGCAAATGAATTCAGGAGCCCAAGAAAGGGAGTAGGAGGGGAAACCAAGACCCTTCCTTCTTTATACCGTCCCAGCTGGAGTGGGGGCATCAAGGCACCAGGTCTGGTTGGGGTGGGGGGACACCTGGGCTCTCGGGGTAGCTTTGTGCTGGACTGCAGTGATTTCCAGCCCTACCAGGGGGCCCTGCCGCACAACTCTGAGGCCTGGGAATCCACCTTGGTGATTCTGGCTGGAATGGGAACCAAGGGACCCGCTGTACCCTCTCTCTCCCTTTGACTGTCAGAGTCTGGAGAGAGAAAAGGAGGACTGGGCAGGGGAGAGGACGCAGGAGTTCCCCTGGGAACTCCCCCACCCCACCCTCTCTTCCAGACCTCTTTGCTGGTCAGAGGCATTCTCTGACTCTAGCTGGGCTGATGCCTGGGCCGGGCCCACTCTTCCATCTACCCTTGTCTCCCACCATCTCTTCACAGGTCTCTAGCCACCCCTCCCCAAAGAGGAGTTCCTGGCCTAGTGAAGCCAAGGAAAGCCACGGAGCTGTCTCCTGCCCTCCTCACAGAGCCATCCGCGCAAGACCGTTCCTATCCTTACTTCACCTGCCCGTCCAGACTCACCCGTGGTCTGGTGAAACGGGTTATAACTCCCTACCAGAAAACAGATGGAACCCACCTTTACCTTCTCCCCACACCTGTCCCCCCATGTGGGACAAACCACCATCTTTGGGTCTGGCCCCTTCTCCCCTATAACTGATGGGGACAAGCCAGCCCTAGCTCCTCAGGAGAAGGGAGGGGCTTTCTAGCAGCAAAAAGGGTCCCTCCAGCCACCTATCTGTCCCTTTCCCCCAGTTCCTCCCTGGAGTTCCTCCCCCTTAACCCAAAGTTCATGGCAGCAGGAGGCTGAGACCCGAAGATGTTTGAAAACTCATGGCACTTGTGAGAAAAGAGGGACAAAAGAGATGAGGGGTCAGAGCAGAGGTGGAGGGCCACCCCTGGGGAAATGGCAAATGACAGGGCTGGGCTAGTATGGCAGTGGGACTATGCTACCCCCAAAGAGTTGGGTGGGGTGGTGTTGCTGGGAAGGCCAGGGTGACAGCCTGGAGAGGGGACTGGGAGAGGTACTCAGGAGACATCCCAAGCCTGGAGCTTCCAGCATCTTCAGGTTTGGGGTTGAGCCCTCTGAACATGAGTGTCCTGACCCCAGCCAGGCCCTGGTACCTGGCTTCGCCTCTCCTGCGGGTATGTGTTGGGTAGGGAAGGCAGTCTCTCACCTCTCGCCTCCCCACCCCGTGAAGGAGAACCGCCTCACCGCCCCCAGCCCTCCCTCCTCAGTCATCTGTCAAACCCTGCTGCCCTCATCTTCCTTCCCCTCTCAACCTCTCTAGGCGGGAAATCGGCCCCTTCCTCCCAGGCCGAGTCCCAGAAGCAATGTACAAGAAGCAGGAACTCCAAGGGACAGCGCAGCCACCTTGGCAAAAGCATCTTTGGGTGTGAGGGTGCCTCCCCTGGGCCAGTGGGGAGGGGAAGGGGAGACAGGCCCCAAGTCCTGGGGCAGGCAGTGAGGTACACGCCCCAGGAGGGCTGACTGATGCCAGGGAGAGGTGGATCAGGGAAGGAGGCAACAGAAACGGGTGCCGGGTGCCGGAAAGGAAACGGGTTCTTTGTTTCGATGTTGCTTCTAGATTTTGTTTTCTGTCTCTGGATTGTAAAAAGCTGCTCTGGCGGCCCGCCCACCCGGCTGGGGATGCACACGTACACAGAGAAGTCCTGGCTGCCAGGGCCCGGCGGCGCAGCTCTGCTCCGGAGAAATCCCGGGCTGGCCGGGCCGCAGGCTCCTGGTGGCTTCAAGTGATGAGATTTTTTCTTTCTTTTTTTGTCTTTTTTTTTTTTTTTTTTTTTCTTTTCCATTTTATTGAAATATTTACAGCAATGGGGACGGGGGAA